ACAACCATATAAAAATGAAAAGAATGATATTTCACGTATAGCAAATGAAAGACTTCGAAAGGAGCAAGGAACGCATAAGTTGTGCATTTTCAGATAGTATCGCAACGCAAGTTATGCGTTTTCACACAGTATCGCAACGTTTCACAAATTTAAGTCTCTTCAGGATGTTAAGCTTGCCAATGCTGGCCTTACTCGACCAACTAGGCCGCGAGTTCTTTACTTGAGTCCCATTAGATATCACGGTGTCGAAGGAAGACTTAGGGTAAAAAGCTTTTCTGGAAAAGGAAGAGCTACGCGAGCTGCGTTGCGTAGATAGACCACTTTCTAAAAGAAAAATCACTTAGTAAAACAGAAAAAGAAACAGCATAATTGCAAAGAAAACCTTACCTTTTTTGCAAGTGGACAGCGCAAAACTGCTTTTCGTAGTCTGAGCTTTCAGTTGGGAATTTCGCACTGAAGATGCATTGAAATCTTCGTCAGAAGCAAGCCATCGCAATCCAAGGAGTCGACGAAGCGAAACGCGGAAACGTCTAAATTCAAAATTTTATTATTGGTCACTTTGGTCTGCTTTTTCTAAAACTGTTTTACAGTGAATTTGTTGCCAAAGTTTTGATTTTTCAACTTGATTTATTGTTGTTTTTTTTCGTAAGGAAAATAGCAAAATCTCTAATTACTCGATACTTAAAATTCAGCGGTAGCCGTACTTCTTAACAGCAAATTTAGATTAAAATAATCTGGGTTTACTAAAGTTAGAGTTTCACAAGTGTCCCATTGAGTTTTTTACTGGAAAAAAAATATTCCAAAACTTCCGCATTCATCCCTAACGTTACCGCTATACCCTCCTTTTTGGATTAGAATGGATATGAACGTACCTTGACATGAAGATGTAGATAGCGAACGATATGGGATGCAGCGTGATGAGTATGATGTTTGCAAAGGATCGAGTATAGGCTGAATGGGCGAACTCCAATGATCCAAGTGGCAGTATGTCGGATAACTTCACGAGGATGATCAATATCGTTGATGGAGCTCTGAAATATACGTAAATTAGCTATTAAAACTGCAAGAATTTTCAGTACTTGAAGATAAGAGTTTGCAATGGAAAAATTATGGCTTGGGTTACTACCGTACCGTGCCAACAGGAACAATGCGATGATTACGGTAAGCATGACGGTTGTATTTCTTGAAGCTTGATTAACGCGTTTGTGTCGAACGAGTCCGACGTCGATTTCCAGCCTTAAAAGGGGAAATTCAGCGTTTCGAACACTAGT